ATATTATAAAAAATGATAAACTAACTTTACAGCTAAAATAGATATTGAACGAGTAAATATTCGCCCGCGAAAATTCCCCTTTTCTTTTTTATTTTCATTGAATTCCTCATATTTGAGCAATCCAATTTAATATAAATTTATAAAACTAAAATGAAAAAGAATGAAATATTATAGAAAAAAAACAAAAATATACAAAAAAAGGAATAAAATAGAGATTTAAAGAAATTTAAATTGACTATTTATTTATATACCCAAATAAAAATATCTAGTAAACTAGGTGAATCCAAAAGAATTTATTCATTGTATTTATTCAGCGTATTATTACATGTATATATTAATTATATAAAAATAAAATATTCATTTAAAATGAAATTTTTATTTTTTCATTCGCGAGGAGCTGGATGAGAAGAAACTCTCACGTCCGGTTCTGTAGTAGAGATGGAATTCCAAAAAAACCATCAACTATAACCCCAAAAGAACTAAATTCCGTAAACAACATAGAGGAAGAATGAAGGGAATATCTTGTCGGGGGAATCGTATTTGTTTCGGAAGATATGCTCTTCAGGCACTTGAACCCGCTTGGATCACGTCTAGACAAATAGAAGCAGGGCGGCGAGCAATGACACGAAATGCACGTCGCGGTGGAAAAATATGGGTACGCATATTTCCCGACAAACCTGTTACAGTAAGACCCGCGGAAACCCGTATGGGTTCCGGTAAAGGATCGCCCGAATATTGGGTAGCTGTTGTCAAACCAGGTCGAATACTTTATGAAATAAGCGGAGTAGCCGAAAATATAGCCCGCCGGGCTATCGCAATAGCGGCATCGAAAATGCCTATACGAACTCAATTCATTATTTCAGGATAAGAATGTGGACCTAAAGGAAATGGATCTTTTGGATAAAAACAAATAGAAGTTTTTTTTGGACAAACAATATTTCTTTTTCATTTATTTTTACATTGAAAGAACAGATAAAAACAAAAAATGATTCAACCTCAGACCCATTTGAATGTAGCAGACAACAGCGGGGCTCGAGAATTGATGTGTATTCGAATCATAGGAGCTAGCAACCGCCGATATGCTCGTATTGGTGACGTTATTGTTGCTGTGATTAAAGAAGCAATACCCAACACGCCCTTAGAAAGATCAGAAGTGATCAGAGCTGTAATTGTACGTACCTGTAAAGAACTCAAACGCGCCAACGGTATGATAATACGATATGATGACAATGCCGCAGTTATCATTGATCAAGAAGGAAATCCAAAAGGAACTCGAATTTTTGGTGCAATTGCCAGGGAATTGAGACAAAACTTTACTAAAATAGTTTCATTAGCTCCTGAGGTATTATAAGATGAGAAGTAGGGTATTTGACTGAAAAACAATAGGAGATTGTGTATCACGTATATATCTTTCATTTTGAAGTTTTTTATAATTAAAAATTGAATACTAAACTAAAAAAAAGGCATGTTGATTATATCAAATTTTTGGGGAACCACTTATTTTAGTTCATCATGAGTAGGGACACTATTGCTGATATAATAACCTCGATACGAAATGCAGACATGAATAGAAAAGGAACGGTTCGAATAGTATCTACTGGAATCACCGAAAACATTGTTAAAATACTTTTACGAGAAGGCTTTATCGAAAATGCGAGAAAACATCAAGAAAGAAACAACTACTTTTTGGTTTTAACTCTGCGACATAGACGAAATAAGAAAACGCCTTATAAAAATACTTTCCATTTAAAAAGGATCAGTCGACCTGGTCTACGAATTTATTCGAACTATCAACGAATTCCTAGAATTTTAGGTGGAATGGGGATTGCAATTCTTTCTACCTCTAGAGGTATAATGACGGATCGAGAGGCTCGACTAGAACGAATTGGCGGAGAAATTTTATGTTATATATGGTAATCCCTATACTATCTGAATTGGATCCAAAATTTTCGATTTGTGAACAAAAAAAGAGAAAAGACAGCTTGTCTAATATCATTCCTCTATTAGTTGATACTTTAAGGGGGTTTTGTCTGGAATGAAGGAACAAAAATGGATTCATGAAGGTTTGATTACCGAATCACTTCCTAATGGTATGTTCTGGGTTCGTTTAGATAATGAAGATCTTATTCTCGGTTATGTTTCAGGAAGGATACGACGTAGTTCTATACGAATCCTACCAGGAGATAGAGTTAAAATTGAAATAAGCCGTTATGATTCAACTAAAGGTCGTATAATTTATAGACTCCGCAACAAGGATTCGAACGATTAGATAGTTTTTCAACTTCAACACTCCTTTCTATAAGAATACAATTCGAGATTCAAAATATTCAAAAACCTATTTTCTTCCAAGAATTAGATTCAAAATAAAAACAACGGAATAAAAAATATGAAAATAAGAGCTTCTGTTCGTCAAATTTGTGAAAAATGCCGGCTGATCCGCAGACGGGGACGAATTATAGTAATTTGTTCTAACCCAAAACACAAACAACGACAAGGATAACTACTATACTAAAAACTAAAAGGAACTATCTAGAAAGAATTGCTAAAAGATTTGATTGATATAAAAAACGGAAAGATTTGTTTTGACATGAAATGGATATATCCATATATCGTTGACTTATTTTTATGAGATGAAAAAATATGGCAAAACCTATACCAAAAATTGGTTCACGTAGAAATGGACGTATTAATTCGCGTAAAAGTGCACGTAAAATACCAAAGGGAATTATTCATGTTCAAGCAAGTTTCAATAATACCATTGTGACTGTTACAGATGTACGGGGTCGAGTAGTTTCTTGGTCTTCTTCCGGTACTTGTGGATTCAGGGGTACAAAAAGAGGGACACCGTTTGCGGCTCAAACTGCAGTAGGAAATGCTATTCGTACGGTGTTAGAGCAAGGTATGCAACGAGCCGAAGTCATGATAAAGGGTCCTGGTCTCGGAAGAGATGCAGCATTACGGGCTATTCGTAGAAGCGGTATACTGTTAAGTTTCGTACGAGACGTAACCCCTATGCCCCATAACGGCTGTAGGCCTCCTAAAAAAAGACGTGTGTAGAAATCACAATTGAAGATATTTCAAGAGAAATAAATGATTCAAAGATATGATCAATTTTGTAAAATATTACTATGGTTCGAGAGAAAATAAGAGTATCTACTCGGACACTTCAGTGGAAGTGTGTTGAATCAAGAACAGATAGTAAATGTCTTTATTATGGTCGCTTTATTCTCTCTCCACTTATGAAAGGTCAAGCTGATACAATAGGCATTGCGATGCGAAGAGCATTGCTTGGCGAAATAGAAGGAACATGTATCACACGTGCAAAATCTGAAAAAATACCACACGAATACTCTGCCATATTGGGTATTCAAGAATCAGTACATGAAATTTTCATGAATTTGAAAGAAATAGTATTGAGAAGTAATCTATATGGAACTTGTGAGGCGTCTATTTGTGTTAAGGGCCCCAGATGTGTAACTGCACAAGACATCATCTTGCCGCCTTATGTAGAAATAGTTGATAATACACAGCATATAGCTCGCTTGACGGAACCAATTGACTTGTGTATTGGATTACAACTTGAGAGAAATCGCGGATATCATATAAAAGCACCACATAACTTTCAAGACGGAAGTTATCCGATAGATGCTCTATTCATGCCTGTTCGAAACGTGAATCATAGTATTCATTCTTATGGAAATGGGAATGAAAAACAAGAAATACTTTTTCTCGAAATATGGACAAATGGCAGTTTAACTCCAAAAGAAGCACTTTATGAAGCCTCCCGGAATTTAATTGATTTATTGATTCCTTTTTTACATGCAGAAGAAGAAAACTTAGATTTAGAGGACAATCAGCCCAAAGTTTCTTTCCCCTTTTTTACCTTTCACAATAGATTGACTGAAATACGGAAAAACAAAAAAAAAATAGCATTGAAATTTACTTTTATTGACCAATTAGAATTGCCACCTAGGATCTACAATTGCCTCAAAAAATCCAATATACACACATTATCGGACCTATTGAATAACAGCCAAGAAGATCTTATTAAAATAGAGCATTTTCGTATAGAAGACGTAAAACAAATATTTGGCACTCTAGAAAAGCATTTCGTAATTGATTAAAAAAAAAATATGAAAAAAAAATGACTTGAATAGGTGTATCTAGGGAAAATTCACTTCGAAGCGACTATTCCCTAGATACACACGTCGTGTTATTTCAGAATTGAATCAATTTAAAAAAGACCTAAAGTTAAGGATTTATCAATAGGTAATGTTGCTCCAATACCCAGCCAAAGGGCTACTATGGTACCAACCAAAAAGACAGTTGTAGCTACTGGACGCCGAAATGGATTTTGGAATTTATTAACATTTTCTAAAAAAGGAACGGTTAATAATCCCGCGGGTACTGAAACCATTAAAAGAACGCCTAATAACTTATTTGGCACTGTACGAAGTATTTGAAATACAGGAAAAAAATACCATTCAGGTAATATTTCCAAAGGAGTTGCAAATGGATCCGCCGGCTCACCAATCATTGATGGTTCTAAAACTGCCAAGCCTACGTTACACGCAATAGTACCTAAAATTACTACAGGAAAAATATATAAAAGATCATTAGGCCATGCGGGCTCCCCGTAATAATTATGCCCCATGCCTTTCGCTAATTTAGCCCTTAATACAGGATCATTCAAGTCAGGTTTTTTTGTTATTAGGATAGGTGAATTCTTTTCTTAGAGATTCGATTCATCCCCCGAAAGAACCGGACATGAGAATTTTTCATCATCCGGCTCGAGCAAGAATCAAAAGAACCAAATGGATCCAGAATATGGATCTTATCCATCTAAAAGGTTCCCTGTAAGAACCTATTTATTAAATCCTACTTTCCGAAGTTGTAATTATACATGGAAAGAAATTCTGCTCTTACAAATAAATGCTCAACACCCAAGTAGGCTTACAAAGTTGATCATGCTCAAATGCTTTTTGGGTCGTCTCATACCTTGTAATTGGTGTTTATCTCCAAGTATTTTGGATATTTTGACTTTCTATAAAATAGAAAATTATATATTTATATTACAAATAAAGGGTTTACTTGTTACTAATATAGCCTAGTCTCTATTGTTCTTTAGATCCCTGGTTTCACTCCGATAGTATCATAGATCAAGTCAATGCAAAGGAAATGAATGCATTTCAATACTATTCAAACTATTAATAAAATAATAATATAATCTAGATTATATTATGCAAAATCACACACTCGACTGGATCTTACGGAGCCCGTTCATTCATCACATGATTCAGGGTTGATCATAGAATAGATTCTCTTGAAACGAACCAACCTATCCTCTTTATAGGACTTACTTATATGGCGGTTGGACAAAAGACACATTTGAGTATGAATTTTAATGTGACAGAAACGGACATATACCTGCACGGCCTAATCAATAGTTCAAGTCAGACACTCCCATAATCCATTTTCATTTCGTAGAATTACCCTCAACTAGTTATGTTAAATAACTAAACATAAAATTTAACTAAATAAAAAATTATGAAGTTGAAGGAAAATGTCCAAATACATAGATTATTATTTTCAATAATCCATACATGTAGCAATGAAATACTATTGTTCTTCCCTCAAGTAATAAATGATTGATTACAAATATCTATGATATACTTTTTCTATTCTATAAGGGCCCAGAAATACCTTGTTTACGTATCATTAGAAAGTGCATTAACATAAATACGGAAGTAAGAAGAGGCAATACAAAAGTGTGTAAACTATAAAACCGAGTCAAAGTGGATTGTCCCACACTAGCACTTCCACGTAATAACTCTACCAAAGGTGATCCTATTACAGGAATAGCATCCGGTACGCCCGTTACAATTTTGACTGCCCAATAACCAATTTGGTCCCGAGGTAAGGAATAACCAGTTACGCCAAAAGAGGCGGTCAATACACCCAGAACCACACCCGTAACCCAAGTCAATTCGCGTGGTTTTTTAAACCCACCGGTGAGATACACACGAAAGACATGCAGGATCATCATTAGAACCATCATACTTGCCGACCACCGATGAACGGATCGTATTAACCAACCAAAGTTGGCTTCAGTCATTATATATTGAACAGAAGCAAAAGCCTCAGTAACGGTTGGACGATAGTAAAAAGTCATCGCAAACCCGGTAGCTACTTGTACTAAAAAACAAGTAAGTGTAATTCCTCCTAGACAATAAAAAATGTTTACATGAGGAGGAACATATTTACTGGTTATATCATCCGCAATCGCCTGAATCTCGAGACGTTCTTCGAACCAATCATAGACTTTATTGAGATAGGTAAACTGTTAAACCCCCCTAAGAACTGTATATGAGACTTTCATCTCGTACAGCTCAAGCAGACACACCCAAATACTGATTAAATTAGAATAGAAAGTTGCAAACTTCGTAATCCCCTGTTTTCTTTTTTCGGAAGATAGGAAGGGATAAAAATCCAAAAGTTCTTCTTTGTGTTCATAATGCCAAAATATCAAGTCGGCGCATTCGTCTTTCTCTTGATTGTTACTACAGGCCTCTTGAATATTCTCTTTTCCTTTTTTCTTTCATTTGTTATTTTTGTATTTGTATATAATGCGACTTTTTTGCTTTTTTATCATTGATAGGAATTTCTCTTGTTAAGACCCTATGAATCGATTGAACCCCAGATTCATACTAGAACCACGATGATTCAATAAAACCCTAAAGCTAAGCACAAAGATTCCTTGAGTAAGAACCATTGGATCATCACTTATTAAATCAATAGGATAGGTATTATTTTATTATTATAACTAATAATACAAAAAAATTTGTCTGTTGGTTAAACAAAAAAGGCATCAAAAGGAGTTTGAACGAAAAAAGATTTCGATTTATACCTTCTTATTCTTTCTTTGAAAAGCAAATTTTTCTGAATCCGATCTCGAGGTCTGAATATTAAATATGAATCATAGTTCAAATATTGTTTGATCTATTTTAGCTATTCCGTGTTTCAGATACCAAAAAAAATATCCAACGAGGTATAACCATCTCTATCAGGATAAGATGACAGACTCATTTTCTGTATTATCAATAGGATCCATTCTAACAAGTCACACACTCATATTCCGGAAATACAGAAAGAAATTCCGCGATCGAACTACCAAAAGGGGATAAAAATCGGAGTCTTAAAAACGCACTTTGTATTGTTTGTATTGAAAGGCTAGAACTTTCCGGTTCTTTTGTCTTTCATTTTTTTGTTTTTGTGGATTTAATTCATTGAAATTCCATCCAGTAAAACGGAAGAATTATAAATTTCCAAAATAATAGAAAGGAATACTGCAAATAAAGCCATCGCAACTCCCATCAAAGGAGTAGTTCCCCACCCAGGAGCTACTTTACCATATTCCGAATTCAAGGGTTTCAAAAGAACCCCTACGGTAGTAGGTTTTGGACGAGATCTAGAACTACTCTCAACGGTTTGTGTAGCCAT